CTTTCATTGAATACACCCAAAACCCACATCTCAATGAAGCCAAACCTAATCAGACTTCTACCACCTCTTCCAGACTCCGATAGCATTAGCTCTCCAGGTTGCTTGGTATAAAGTGCAAAGAATTTAGAACCAGAGACCCTGAGCATGAATCCTAGTTCCTTCATTAGCTGTATGACTTAACTAGCCATTTATTCATTCTAAATCTGTTTCTCCTTCAGTAAAAGATACCAGTATCTACTTCAATTATGTTGCGTAAAGAATTGAAACTATGTAAGCCTCAGAAAAGCATAGTACAAAGCAGGTTACTTAAGAAATGTTCATTTCCTTTCTTCATCCATGTCCCCTAATCATGCATTTAGTACTAAATAGAAAATATATTACACTAGTCATTTATATTTTATGCTTACTCTCCTCTCTTTCAGCCAGATAGAATATTCCTGAGGGACAAAAGACAAGTTTAATTCATCTTAGTAACCCTAGTATCTGGCAACCTCTGAGCAACTGGTAAGTTCTCAATAAATATTTACTAAAAAACAAAGATTAATTTGAGAAATAATGCAGAAAAAAAGTGGTTCCATAAAGAAGCATTCCTCTGCAGAACTTAAATTTCTTATAACATTTATCGTTAAAATATCCTTTATGACAAAGGCAAGATGTATTTTACATACTTGAGAGAAATTGAAAAAGATCTAATTTGTAGTTCCAGTTGATACTTAACAGTGGGCAAAATAAAAATCATTATAAAAGCACCAATAAAGGAAAAATCTTTTTGAAGTAAATTTGAGTACAAGAACACTAATAATGGAAATACGGAAAAATAACAATGATGAACCCAGAGATTATGCTGGCAAAAAAGTAATGAACTCTTTATAGATGTCTTTTGAGGACATTGGTCATATAACCACGTGACTATTGTACTTTCAAAATGGCTGACAAATGTTGATAATTGCACTGACGAGTGTCAAGCCAAACTGCTAAAACACATTTCCTGTCCTTTAAGAAATTCTCTAAGTTTTAAGTCAAGCAGAAACAAATTATAATTTATATTCTGTTCTCTAGTGTTGCTGACTTCTACACAGCTCCTAGATGGAATTCAATATCACCCACTCCCACAGAGCTAGGGTGAACTGCCTGTCAAGGAGATGGGAGCTGTTTTATTCAATCAGCAACTCAAAACATCATTGTTCATGAATATTGTGGCAGAAAAAAGAAACAATCTCGCATGTTGGGAACCTGGATATTTTCCTCCAAAAATAGAGCAAAGTGCCCTAAAAGCTCCAGTTGTTTTGAACTTACTATACAGAGGCTACACAGTTTGGTCAGAGAGCACTTGAAATCAGTTTGTCATAAGAGCCCTTCCATGATTGACTATACAACCTCAGAGAAGTTCATTCCTTCACTAGACAATTCCAGAGAGACTATAACTAGCATTTATACTAGATGATGGGGATACAGAGGTAAAAAAATATAATCTATGTCTTTCAGAAACTTACGACCAAGTGTAGAGTCAGGCAATTGGGGCAGACTGGAATACTTCACCAAACTCATTTACCTTTCATTGTGGGCATAAAGATAGAACAAATTTCTCAGCCTCCACATAATTATATCCTAGCCATTGAAATGTGAGTAGAAGTGAGGTAAGCCATATCCAGGCCTGGCAATGGAATATCTCCCTTTCGATCATGAACTTTCTCACTCTATCTCCTTGTGTATCTGCTGGATGCTGTAGACTCAGAGATCTTAGAGGTAATGGAGCCACAAGAGGGAATTGAGCAGAAGGCCACCTGCTGACCACATTCTTGAAACTATTATGTGGAAAGAAATTGCCTGTTATATTAATTGACCAAGATTTGAAGCTGTTTGTTATGACAGTTTGTCTACCCTACCAAAGCACAAACCCAAACGACCTCCAAGACATTATGATTCAGTGTATGCAAAGGATGGTGTGAGAATACCAAAAAGAGGTAGTTCACCTGGGCTGGAGGCTGTATATCAGGAAGGGCTCCCCAGAAGAAGAAACACTTAAGATGAATCTTGAAGGACAGTGTGAGACAGTGAGAAAGGAAATATAAGGTTGCAGAAGAGAAAGTACATGCAAAGTCATGAAACTTTGAGGAAATGTGGTACATTGGGAAAGTGTTAGTGATTCCTGACTACTAGAATGTAGAGTGATGTTGGGAAATGGAGCTGCTAAATATGTATTCTTTGAAATGATTGATAAATAGCAGAACCCACGAGACATACTAACCACCAGAAATAATGGATAAAGGAAGAAAAAAGTAATCAAGGACCATCTAACTTAGAAGACAGAAAGATAGCATTCTCTTCAGAGATAGAAATCACAAGAAAGAGAGATAAAAGGGTGCATTTGATTTTGAAAAATAACTGAAGCTGAGATAGCCATGGAACGTCCAAAAGAAGAATCAGCCGGAAGTTGGACATATGGACCTAAAGCTCAGGCAGTGGTATGGATACGACAGGTGAGCTTGCAAGTGTCACAGTAGAGGTGGTGGTTGAAGCCACAAGCATGATGGGATTGCTCAGAATATCCCAGAGTGAGAAGCCAGAGAAATAGGAAAGAAAGAAGAAAAATGGGAAAGAGGTAAAGAGTGAGAGAAAAAGAAAAAGAAAGATAGACAGAAAGAGTGAGAATATGAGAAAGAAGTCACAGAAGTCAATGAGAAGAGATACTGAAAAAGCAGTCAACACTCACAAATGCTTCAGAGAGGTAAAGTAAAACGACAACTTAAAAAATGTTCATTATATTTGAGAACTAGGCAATCATTTGTGCCCTTAACAAGTTCCATTTCAGTACTGTCAAAAGCCAGGTTAAAATGGTCTGCAGAGTGAATGAGAGATGAAGAATTAGAGATAGGAATATAAAACACTCTTTAAGGAAAATTGGCTCTAAGAAACAACTAGCTAGAAGTGGACAAAGAGATAGAGTTTGTTTCATTATGGTTTTATTTTTTAAGATGCAGGACTTAAACATACATATTTGTATGTTGAATTCTCTGAACTTTTATTTCACTACCTATATTGGGGATAATGCCCCTTCTGCTTGGTCCATTGGATTGTTGTTAGAACAAATAAGACGACATATGTGAAAGATTCTAAGTATTATATAAAGGGCAAGGTTACTGTGTATTTATAAATGTTGAAAATATGGAGTTATAAAAGTCAAGACTCCAGTGAAATATGGTTGGCTATAATAGCAAGGAAAAATTACAATCAATTTAGATCTAAAAATATTAAGAAAAATGTCTTTTTAATATACATTACAAGTTGCTGACCCCAAATTTTAGAGGCTAACAACAGACTTCTAAGCCCTATGCTGGATAAAATTCTTCCGGGGCTCCTAGTTAGCCTGGATTTCCAGACATCTTCATTACAACAGAAAGAAAAAAAAATGCCAATTAACCATGGCAGACTGCTGTACATTAAGTCATCTGGGGATTTATTAGTCTTATGAGTAGTAGTTCTTAAATAAATATTTCTGGCAGTCACCCAGTTTCACAAAGCAACAGACTAACTCCATAATTTAGGTTTCATGACTAGTGAAATCATGGTAAATGGCCACAGCTTGCTGAGTGTGTTATTCTAAGGGGTGAATGAGGTGCTCCAGGAAGTAAGCTAGCCATTGTAGGACTTCCTTCCTGGGAAGGTTAACCATCCAAAAGAATACAGCCCAATCATTATTTCTCTAGTCACCAAATCTGTAAAGACTCTACAAAGAACATTAGTTTTAGCACTATGACATCAGTGGAACTAGTTTTTTTCCTCATAAAACTTCTAACAAGTGGTCTTAACATGTCCCACCTTCCTCCCCTAGGAAGATATCTTATCCTTGTAAAAGAAAAAAGTCTCTTTCCTTTTTTCTCTGTACTTTTGAACAACTCCCTTCTGACTTGCTTTCCTAGTTATTGATCTCTCCTCAGTTATTTTATTTTCAAGGGTGTAAGGGTGCTAATTAAGGTCAAGTAGCTATGTCTCCAGCTCCAAACAGCAATTATGCAGAATAAATAAACTTTCCTTTACAATAGATACTAAAGATCTAGTCTTGAGACCCAAATAAACCCTATTTGCAATTATTTTTACAAGTTTTAAATCTGATAGAGCCCAAGCTACAACACTAAAATAGTGCTTCTTTTATCCACATTTCTCAAGCATTTTATCTTTAATGTGTGACACTACCATATGTAGCTACTAAACTAGGCCAAAGGTCTACCTACACATCAATTTTTAGACTTTTTAGCCACTGCAATGCTGAATTTCATCCTTAAGACTAAGGGTCAGTAAAGCACTTTGTACTTAATTACCTCAATCAGAACTACAAAGAAAAAGACAAAACTTATGTTGCCCTCAAATAATACCACCAAACATTTATATAGATCTTTATAATCAAGTATCTTTCATAAGTTTACCTCATCTATTCTTAAAATAATTTTGTAAATGCATTACTCTTCATCATCACCAATTAATAGAAGAGAATATTGAAGACCTGATGGCTGAAGAACATTCCCAAGGCCTGTTGTTCAGGAGCAGAGACAGGTCTATGTCCAAGGTCCTCTGCTTCCTCAGCCCTCTCCCCTGCACAGCAGACAACCCCCTTCCTGTTACCCACTGTATTTTTACTTCACTTCTCTAGCAACAATGGAAAAAGCCTGGTTTTCTCTGAAGTCATTAAGAATCTTTGATGAGACACAGACGTGGATTTAGTTCTCCCGCCAATAAAAATACATAATATATTGGTTATATAAGGAATGTTATGGGATTGTCATAGATGTGAAAAGCTTTTCAAAGGAATGCACAAATGATGCTTGGAATACCTGAAAAAGCAAAAGAAGATATGACAAACAAATGACCAAAAGTGGAAAGGGGGAAAATTCCATAAGCAATCAGTATTTTCATTTGAATGGTTTGTTTTTATTTCATAACAGCTTCTCTTTCATGGAAAATCCTGGTCTTTAAAAAGATTTCAAATGAACATCATGACCAACCTGTAGATGGAGAAGGAAGCCACCGATCGAATGAGGGATGCCAAAGCCCCTACTTTGGCAGCTTCCACTGCCCCCTTGACTCGGTATTGCACCATCCTGGAGTAGCTGGTATAAGGCTGATTATAAACAACAATCTTCCCTCTTGCTTCTGAGGCCCTTCTCTGCAGTTCATCGAAAGAGGTCACCACCAGAACTTCTGCTGTAATGCCTAGAAATAAAAGTCATTCAAGATTAACTTATGGTTTCCAATCAGCCAGGTTGAGTAGGCGCACAAAAGGTCACACATGCTCTATCCGCTCCATCTGGCAAACTGGTTTAAGTAGATCAAAGTTTTAGAGCCATTTGCCATGGGAAAAAGATTGTGGGGGTTAGCCAGTTTCCCAAGAAAGAGAAAGGCTTTCAAAATAATATAACATACTACTCATAAGGTTTTTAAACTCATTTGACCAGCAGGTATTAAATCACAAATGGTTTGAAAAGATAGTGTTTTTTTTCCCCTTCTTTCCCACCCTAAGAAGTCATGAGTTTCACAGAATGACACAGATTATTTACAAAGAAAATGCATTTCAAGAAGCTCCCCTTGGGATTAATAAAACATATTTTATCTTTTCATAAAACTATTTGATATGTTGCTAAACAACCTTCACTGACATTATACAATGGATGGCCATTCATGAAGAATGTTCTTAGCGGCCAACGATCTTCGTTAACTTTTAACAAATAGTTAATGTAACTTCTCCCAAGAACCAGAAAAAGTCAGCTTTTTTTCTTTCCTCCTGTGTACAAAATTTTCTTAAAGGTTGTGGAAACGTCTCATGCTTCTTGATTTATAGTACTTGTTCATCACCAAACACACCACTATTCTTCAGATAAAAATTTTAAAGATGTTCTACAATTGTCCCATAATCCTATTGTCTCACTTAGAAGAGACATACCACATTTCCTCACACCACAAGACTTGCCCAGATATTCCTGATTAGGGAACAGGGTTTCGTAAGTAAAAAATAATAATAATATTTAGCAACAAAGGCCAAATATAGTGGCTAAATATAACTATCTGAAAGAAAGTGGCAGGCATCTCCTGTTTTGTGGCTTTAGACATGCAGTCATGAAATATGTCAGTAAAAATCAAAGTATCAGCATATATTTGGCATCCTTCCTTAATCTTGCAAACTATAGAAGTGGGTTTTCTAGAAACTTACAGAAGTCATTAAAATATTAACTGTTACTAGGAAAATCCTTTTAAATTGCACTGCAGTTATAAGAGAATTTTTGCTTTCAATAGAGACTCCTTCAGGTTGGCTCCTCTCCTACTTCTGGTTCTACCATACAGACTGAATTTGTACTTTTACTTTTAAGTGATGACTACAGATCTATAAGTACGTCTCCACCAACATTCAGAACTCAGAATTTAATTTATAATCTAAAAAAAGGAATGACAATTATGGAAAATAAGGAAGCCACTAGCTTCCTTACATGATAAATATGTGTAATAATACAAATAAGGGTTCAGCTAGACAGATTTTGAGAATTGTAACTTTCTAAAACCTAGAGTTACCTTGAAATTTCACTGGCGTTGAAATATTACGGGAATTTTGTTGATGGTTTTCAGCTGTTCCTAATAAAAAACAGATTCAGTGGTTCACCCATCCTAAGGGATGTTCCAGCCAGGGGGTAATTTTGGCATCTGGATTGAAGCCACTAAAAATCAAGCCAAATTTCTATAAATTTTCATAGGCCACTGAAAAATTAAAGTCATACAGGGATGGTATTTTCTATGGTTGATTCTACAATTTCTTTTTTTTTTTTTTAAACAAATAAGGGAGTGATGGAGTCTTAAAGAGCCAAAACCTACAGCTGCCAATGCAAATCACTAGTAGCAGCTATCGGTCAAAACCTATCACCATGAACTTGGAAGAAGAGTTCAAATTAATGATTTCCTGAATGTTTAGAGTCATCTCTGATTCCTCCGTCTCCTTCATCCCCCATGTCTAGTCAATCTTCAAACATCAATAATGTTACCTATTAAATATTGATTGAACCCAGGTCCACTGTTCCACCTCATTATATTTTCTTACATCAGGACCTAATTATCTCTCTTTTGGACTGCTATGAATCCTTCTCCCTCCAATCACCCACCACCACTGGTGTCTCAGCCTCCAGCCGAGGTCCCTCATATTAAACCTCTAACAAAGCTGCCAGAGTAGTCTACTTGAACTGCTGAAAAGTCAAATCAGCCCATGTTACCATCCTCCCACTCTTCTTCTACCTCTGCTAAAAATCTATCACTTCTACATGACAAAGATTGTCTGTCTCTACAGACACAGTTTCCCTTTGCTTTTTAAAAAATTTTACTTTCTTATTAGTTTTGAGTATGCAGTACATTGGTTAGACATTTATATAGTTTATAAAACGATCCCCCTGATTGCTCTCTCTCTCCTCTGGCTCTGCACCTAGCCATTACATTAATGCTGACTGCATTCCTTTGCTTATGATACATCTGATAAGAGATTAATATCCAAAATACATAAATAACTCATACAACTCAACAACAAAAAAAACAAACACAAACAATCCAATTAAAAAATGGGCAGAAGATCTGAATAGATATTTCTCCAAAGAGGAAACACAGATGGCCAATAGACATGAAAAGATGCTCAAGGTATCTTTGCTTTTAAATTCCATCAATAGTAAACTTAAAAGTTCCTACTCTCACCATGCAAGTTCACTCCTTAGTGTCCTTGTTCATACTGTGGTACATCATGTCTTGTTGACCCCATTCTCCTAACTTCATCTTATTATTTCACCTGCTTATTACTCAGGATGCCATTTAAAAATCACTCCCTTAAGGAGCATTCTCTGGCTTCTGGCTTCTTGTCTCATCCCCTCTTCACCACCCACAGGAAGGCTGGCTTGTGCACAACCCTAGTCTGGACTTTGAGAGTACCTGGGCATACCTGGGCACTAGACAAAGAAACTCTGCCTATTCATGACTTTCTCAACTACCTAAACTGTGATGTCTTCAGGGTTTGGGACCATGTTCATTTTTGTTTGCATCTCCTGGGCCTAACAGTGTTTGGTATATGTGTAGCAGTCAGTCAATAAATAATTCTTGAATGGCACTGCTTCAAATAGGGGATCATTGTCTGAATCTAAAGCATTTCCATAAAAGTGCAATTTTACCTTTAAGGTTTGATAGTGCTTTTCCCACAACAACTCAAAAGTCTGATTCTCTTACCACCCAGGGCGCAGCTGTACAACAATAACCAAGCAGGAAAGGGCCATGGGACAGTCAAAATAGAAATACAAATTCCAAATATAAAAACACAGGTACTTAAACATGAGAAAGCTCTTTTGCTCTCTCTTAGAGCCTAGTTATCCTTACTTTAGACAAAATTCTAAATCCGGTATTTAAACCAAATAATATGTAAAATAACAAATACTAACAGATTTTTCTGCAATGTTGTAAATGTTCTAGCTGTACTAACACAGTAGCCATTAGATACACATGACTATTGAGAACTTCAAGTATGATTAATGTGACTCAAAAACTGAAATTTTAATGCCATTTATTTTAATTAATTTGTATTTAAACTTAAATAGTCATATATGTGTAGTGATTATTACATAGAACTCATAATCACTGCAGGCTCAGCCATTAGGTACATAAATAACTGAAAGCATCTCTGTAGGTGCTATGTGCCTTGCCTCATGATAGCCCCATAACAGACATGACAGTCATGATGACAACCTCCCACAGTGGTCACAGACCAGGTGTACTGTATTTAGTATCTTTCGTTTGAAAAGGCAGGGTATATGCAAACACTTAGGGAGAACTGTTCACTCCAAATGAATAAAATAAAACTAGGCCATCTGGAAAACTTTATTCTTCTATATTAGTTTGTATTTTGACATGTTACACAAAGAAATACTCATGCTCTCCTACAAATCAGCAGGTTCCCATTCTTTTCTCTATTCTCATCTCCCTTCTTCCTATTCTCCCATTCTAAAAGATAATACATGAGAACCTTTAAGAACTCAAAACCAGTGTCATATTCACAGTAAGTCCTTCTTTGACCTCCCTATTTGTACCTGCAACCCACTCCCAACCCTCATCCCACTTATCTTGCTTAATTTTTCCACAGAATTTATCAACTTCCAGCTGTATCTACTACAATAATGTCAGATCTGTGGTGGTCGGAAATTTTGTCTGTTTTATTCATTAATGTTACCAAAGTGCCTTAAATGATACCTGACACATAATGCGTGAAATTCTCTCTCTCCCTCTCTCCCTCTCATAGACACAAACACACACATACACACATACATATACTGAATGAATGAAAAGAAAAATAAAATAAAAGTATAATAATAGCCCATCCCTGCTCACCCTTTAGAAATGTACACTGCCGAGGAAATTGTATATTTCTGTATATTCCGTTAGAATAATTGATCACGATAATAATAGCTATATTTGATATCCATTAGTATCACATTGTTTACACTAACGTCCACAACAACTCTGCAAATTAGTTATTAGGAGGATACTGAGGTGCAGAGAAATAAGTTTACACAACTACCAAGTGTTGAAGCCCAGATCTGAATTATTGGGTGTCTGAATCCAAGGGTCGTGCCCCTCCTACTAACTGCATTGCTATTATCTTTCACAAATTTTCATTTTAAGAGGATTAAGAAGGAAAAATAAATAGGCATATAAAAGTCCACATAGGTTATCAGGTTTTTCGTGGTTTGGTTTGGGGTTGGGTTGGGTTGGGTTGGGTTTGGTTTGGTGTTTTTCTTAGTCTACCCAGGATCCTGTTCATTAATCCGGATGCTGTTATCACACTAGACCCCAACCTATTAATAAGGGAGCTGGGAGGAGTGCTTCATTCTAGGACAAGAGCCATTAGACTTCGTTAGAGTAATGAAAAGGATTATGGTAGTTAATTCTGAAGAAAACATGGACTAAAGCTAAAATATATTCCTATTATAAAATGACTCTCTTGGCTACAGCTGATTAGATCATAAAAACTCGCAGATTCCTTTTTATTCTCCACACCTAATTTTCAAAATTGATCAACTTATTTGTAAGTAACCCTGTGCATAATTACTGCTGTGGTTTCCTTGTAGAGACAACAGAAGCTGACTGCTATGGTGTTAGCTCAGGGCATTTTATTCTATGGAGAATTTGATAGAGACTCCAATCTG